AGCAATGAGACATTAAAGTGACATTGTTCATGTGAGTACATTGTCATGCTCTTCAGATAAACCTGCTCTTCAGATAAACTAAACCATCACCAAGCTCGTTGTGAATCCTCTTTTCATTGCGAGTAAAACTGAGTTTTCGTATATTCACAACCTGTCATCATGAGAAAGCAAATAACATTTTCATATTGTATATGTTCACTTGGTGTTGGATCGCAGATTGTGTAAACTCGGAAACTTACATGAAAAGCAAGAGAATCTGTTGTGAACGACTGATATGAACATAAGGTTGTTCTTTTTTGAATTTCAAATTCCAGTTAATTTCTGAAAAATTTGTGATATGTACAATGTAACATTGTAGGTTTCTTTTTTCCAGCAATAATGTAATTTCTATGGTTGAGTTGTTTTAATCATGTTTACTGGATTACAAATTTTTAATCCGAAAAAGAGGAGACCAAAATTGGTATTTAGTAATTGAGTTTTCGAAAAATCTTGATGATTTGTGACGTATCACTAGAATTACTCATGCAAATGAGAAATCCTATGTGGCATTCATTACATACAGCAAACTTTTCAAAGAAGACAACAAATGGGAAAGACGTGCAAAGAATAAACAAATAAAAAACAGGGTGCTAGGTCTGAATAATAGTATGATGAGAGATATGTTCTATAACACCTATAATATTCAAAAGATTCTAATCAAACTATCCACAAACAATGAGAGCATTTCACGTAAATACTCTTGTGTATATATATATACACAAAATTATATACGTGAAATATTTAATTTGTATACATTTTATTTTTCTTTTCAAAGTAAATAGAGTATAATATTTTTGTCAAATTGTGCCACATGTAATATCTATTCCCATTATATCTTTAATTGAAATTGGATAATCTCGATCCATTTGAAACATCGATATTCATGTAACACCACATGCACCAAAATCAAAATGAGCCAAATGCAAGAATATGCACTTATCATATGCCGTCCATATGTACATCCAGTCATATAAACTCTTACTACATGTATTGACTTTTACATCATGTAAAGACTGAAGATGAATAAAACAACTGTACGCGAAAGCTCACGAGCCTAGACCCTAAACGTATCGTTTTCGTATGATTCGGAATTCCTAAAAGGGACTGTAGAGTTTGTTACTTACGTCGATGTATATAGTACTGTACATTCTAAACCTCCATTGCAATATATCCCTCACTAGCAATCCGTCTAATGACTCCAAAACCCTTATCCATGGCAACTATGTAGGATTTCGGCAAAGCATTAAAAAATTCGACCCATTCAATTGCAACATATAAAAGACCTCCATTTGGAGGTTTAGCCAGCATCTGTCAGGTTCCAAAGTAGCGTAAGAACTATGTTTTCCTGCATCTCACAAAATCATGTAACATTACAAAGTACAACTCGACTTCGTTTTGGCTTTTGCGCAGAATCATGACTCCTAGTTTGAGGCAATATGTATTTTGACAAGCATAGAATTGCAGCTTCTCCATGCCTACCAGGCAGGTCGAAAGTGCTAAGTGGCACACTACGAGGATCTTTTACTTAAAATCAATCGGAGAAAGAACAGTTCGACATAAGCTTCTGAATTCATCCCTTAGTGGACAATGAATTTACCCAATACGAGAATTTGTGGTAGGACAAGTTGTCTAGATAAACATAAGAAATCACGTGTGAAAGGTGAGCTTCGATACTTCACATCGTCATAAACAGGAAGCGCTGTGGAACGCTATTAGAATGGGGCCTGTCTCCGATTGGCTACCTGTATTTACGATCAGTAGTCACTGAGAATTTTGAAGTTCAGATTGGCAGGAACATACTGGACTACTCAGATTAAGTAAGAAGTAAAAAGTACGTACTACAAGTAGAGAAATAAATCACTTCAAATCGAAGATCGATTATTATATTGAATAAATCCGGCATGTACTTCCACTATTAGATCCATGCTTTCAGGTGGCTTTCAGAGCACCTTGCAATAAGGACTACAATCTCACCAGAGCATGAAATCTGTATGATTGAATATCAGGTGCGCCGGGACTTGCTACTGGAAAGCCAAGAGCTGTTCCGTGCGATGCCATCAATTACTGAAAGTCGTCGAGAAAGACTAAACTTGTCCAACGCCGCACGATAATGAATGGCCTGACCTCAGCTAGACAAATGGAGCCCAGATTTCTTCAATTTGGGCTGTTTAGTGGGTGTTTGTGTGAGAGTGTTTGTGGGCGCCTTTCCTTGTTACTTCCGTGCAACTCCCTGCATCTCGAATCGAATATGCTCCTTATGAAATTGTAATTTGTCAACTTGTCGACAACTGAACAGAACATGTACAGTTCATGCTTCATGCATGATATACGAGGTCATGATACAATGTTTTATAGTTGCAATGTCGTTGGGAGCAATCCTCTTCCTAATAATAGTTGAAGTAGGGTCCCTGGCCTTGATTACATGAATCCGAATTTCTCGATATTCTAATTGTATGCATTATTTCAGCACTGTGCAGAACACTTCGCCATGACTTGTAGTGTTAAGTGTTTAAAAACCCTTCGAGTTCATCTCGCAGAAAGCACTCATATGAGAGGTATTTGACTTTGTCGCGTCGTCGCCACTCAACTTCATATGGGGGCCTTATCTGATGGCTGAATCTTACCAGCGGGATAGCTGCCGGAGGAAGGACATGACATCGTCGAGTTCAAATACAGGATGAGATTTTGTAAGGTTCCAGTAACTTGCACAAGATCAGAGACGGGTTTGATTGTTGTGGCTCTCTAAATGTGGTCTCACGTGATTTGCATGCTGCGATTTTGTTCGAGGGTCTAAACTTCGTCAAAGTTTCAGAAATCTGAAACTTTGACGAAGAAAACCTTCGGGGGACCTTATTGTTCAGATGATACCCTCTTTATTCCGGCGTGTCCTTGTTTTGTCTTCAGATTCACGCATCCGGCTAAGGTATGTTGAAAGTCTCGGCAGAGTGAAGAAGATAGTCACGGTTTGTCCAAACCCATTCATCATTCCCGATGTTTGTGCATGATTTCGTTTTGGCTCTTCTGTAAATGATTCCAGTTTGTCGAAAGTCCAAACCTGATTGGCTGTTCTCATGTATGTCCCTTGTTGACATTGATAACATCTCGAGAAATGTCTCCACAATGATTGCAACGTGATCAAATTTATTTCGCCAGACGAAGACTTTAGAAAGTGAAGCACCGTCGAGCGCCAGGAAAAATGTGAAAAAGACGGTCATCTCCGATGAGTCCATACATAAACTGCTCATCGTCTGTCGCACATGAATCTATTTGGACGGTGTTATATTTAGCAATATGCACACGGTTGCATCGAGAACTTTTAAGTCTCGTCACCTGAACTGCTTTCTTAGAACTCATGATTCGAAACGTCTAAGTTCGACCCAAAGATCTTTGCCTTGAGTTGACTCCGATTAAAATGAGAGTGAAAGTCACCCTGATGGTTTGCAGATTACAGAATTACAGACACTTGTTATCTGATGTGGTTTCTGTCTGATTTGGTCAATAAACTGGATGCTCTTTGAGCTGCAGATCCGCATAAAGTCTGAGGGAGGCTCTCAAGAGTTTCAGAGCCCCATCTGACTTCTAGAACTGAACATATTGAGGAGTATGTTGGCTTCTCCTTCTACGTTTGATGAGAGAGAGAGAGAGAGAGAGAGAGAGATGTTTGAGAACGCACAGCTTTAACGTTGCTGCAGATAGACGAGAAACTCTTCATGGTCTACAAAGAAAAGCCCAAAGAAAGCTGAACGTGACTAAGCTCAACATGGCATCCGAAGTCGGCGTGATGGGTTGGTTGTTCATATAATGCATTATTCGATACGCTAGGCCACGTAAGTCCTCTCAGCGTTTCATGTGCTGTGCGTTGAGCAGCGCCTTTCTGCAACTTGGCAGAGGAAGTTCATACTTCCTCTGCCAGAGAAATGTCAACGACGGATTCAGATGTGGATGAAAGTGGACCGATCAGTAATTAAGTGCTCTAAATAAAAGGAGGGATGATAAGATCCCCATCGTGGCCTACCGCGGAACGCTCTCAAATGGCTACAAATCATACAACATCCTTTCGAGCTGATCTCTGTAAAGTGTAAGCATAATTGGAGAGCCGTGAGAGAGTAAGATTGTGGCCGGATGAGCCCAAATTATTGCATCACCAACAAACAGATGTTCAACTTTGGGCAACACGAGTAGATTTCCACCTCATATTCCACATGGTTGTGAATTAAGTGGTCAATGGTGCCATTGACTTCAATTTCTCTTTCTGAGACAATGTGAGAATTAAGCAATGACCATACGTGGTTCGGCTTGTTGACAAATGCTTTGTTGACAATATGTTGCTAATTGCGGTTTGTCGATACGTATGTACGATGCGTACATTCAACGGGCAGTCAGCTTCGAGGCTCGGTTGTGGCCGCCGTCGAGCTCGCCAGGACCAGAGTTAGCTAGTTAGTACGTGGTCTCTAGCACAAGGAAAGATTAGAATTTACTACCTCCGAACAGATGCATCAGTAACTCCAAGACAAGAGTCACTGAGTGGAGAGCACAGTGGCACTTCCAAGAAATGATCATCAGAATCTTGATGCATCTCTCGAACATTCATCGCCATCTTCAGGCGTGTGCGTTTCTTACTGCGGCATGTCCCGCACCGTGAATGCTAAAGACCTTCTCGGGGCGTCACCTGATCTCTAACCGAAAGTGTATCAAGGCGTTGACGGAATCGTTCAAGATTATGATCATTGAGCAGGCTCGTACACAGTACGATCATTATGTAATTTCATCCTCTCTTGCTTTCAAGTCCCTGACCAAGAAGAGCTTCCGAACTGGTCACAGGCGGTCTACCTAGCTTGGATATCGTTGCTGTAAACTAATCCCTGCCTAGCTAACCCATTAAGAAAATGGAACCCCCAAAAAGTACAAATGTCGTATATCTTGCCCCTTAACTGCTGCTTCAAAATGGGCATGAAGAGGATAGCCATACTCGTACATACATTCCTTTCTCTGTCAGTCTTCCGTGAAAAGTATGCGAGTTATTCGATGCGTGACAAGATTAAGTTTAAGTTTATCAACAGAGGGTCTCCAACGACTTCTGATGAAAGCGTTATTAAATATGTCGCTGGTATAAGTCGGAGCTGATCGGGGCTGAAGACAAGTGGTGAAGAGTGGGCGGCCATAAGTGGTGAAGCGGGGCTGCGATGTTATGACCGGGAACATGCAGAGACTCTGAGCTTTCGAGATCCATGTGCACGGGTGGCTCCTTCAGTGAGTGCATCCTGAGCCACGTTGGATGGAAAAGGGGAAAGCGCAGCACACAGTCATTGTTCTCTTCTCGGGAGTTCGTTAGACATGATCCCACCTCATACCTTTGATCCACCGGAACCTCCTTGATTCTGAGCGATATTATCCAATTCGTCAACCAGCTCATCTCTGAGATTCTGATTCTCTCTCTCTCTCTCTCTCTCTCTCTCTCTCTGCACCCTGTTTAACTGTCATGTCCGATCAAGAGCCTACAAGAGCACAATGGACATGAACTTTCAGTGCTCAGAAAGACTTGCAGTCCAGCCAGCAGCACCTCCGAGACTCTGCATGTCTTCCTATATATATAGCAGAAGGTCTCAATTGAGAGGAGCTGGAGATTTGGGTGGCCTTATGCAACTATATCTTCTGTCATGCAGCAGCCTTGAGCCTTGAGCCTTGCTGCCAGTGAGTAGACACAGTTTCGTATCGCAGTCGCAGCACATGGCATTCGGAAGTGTTGAGTCTAGGCAGGAAAGGTTCGGTTCTGCTGCGCTCAGCTCACTGCGGATGCCCTTCACGTCGTCTGTAGACATATAGATACATCGTCGTCGAGCCCATGAAGCCTCTAATGATTTAGCTCGAGCTCTCGACGAGGCGAGCATCGAAGACGAGATTACACAGTACACCAACGCCGCTCATTATCTTGCAGCATCTTCCATTCCGTCAAACAACGTAAATCAGCTTTGTACATTCTTTAAATCAACTGCTTTGCTTCCCTAGAGTAGAGACCTTACTCTAGCTCAGCAGCGACTATTTTCTCTTGAAGAGACCAATGGATTGTCGTGCACATTCGGTGATCCTTCGATTGCCGCCATGTAGCACATGGCCGAATGAACGCAGCTCTCTCACGAGCGGCTGCCCTTGGCTTTCGATTTCTTATATTTCCAACAGCACAGCAGCCCAGATTCTGAGTGCCGAGTACCCATTCAGGCATTGATATCATTCATTATCTTCGGTCTTCACATTTCATTGCAGAGCTGTAGATCAATCCAGTATTTGCGGTTTATTCATGCACTCCATATCCGGAATTCTTTAGATTTTCAATTTCGGTAGCCCAACTAGTTTCAGAGGCACACGCAATTTCTCCAATTCAGTCGAGAATCCGTCCGTTTTCCAGGAACCTCTAGACACGGTTTCTCATGGCATCCACAAATGTCAGCTCCAGGCTTCGCAAAAATCTGTGGACAGTGGTTTTCTTGATACTGGGAACTTGGAAACAGCCCATGGCTGCAGCTTCCACAGCACTCGGTGGGGGATTCGTACGTCGGAGAGGTGTCCATTTCGAAGACTCGGAGGGACGACCGTTCCTCGTGCATGGTTGCAACTTCTACTGGCTCATGTACCAGGCATCCGAGGACTCGAGCCGACAGATGGTGGACGAGGTGCTTCGGGACGCCAAGGGCCTGGGGCTCAACGTTGGTCGCACATGGGCCTTCAATGATGGAGCCGATCGAGCTCTTCAAACCTCCCCCGGTGCCTACGACGAGAAAGTTTTCCAGGTGAGCTCCAACCACTATAACTACAACCACAGCCGGCTCCGCTAGTTAGTGTCCCGCCCCGCCAATCGATCCTTCACTACGCTCAGACTAAACGCAGTTCTCTCGCACTGTCCTTCCGATTTGTACTCATCGATGGCTTTATACCGTACTCCTTCTCTGTACAATGTATTGCACATAGAACGTGGAGTACGTAGAGGAGGGTGATTATTCTCTCTGTAAAAGCGAAGGTCAGATCTGCTGACAGCTGCTTTGATTTATTTCTCGGAAAGCCGGCTGCTTGAGGACGATAGTATGTCCTCTCCGAGTCCTGAGTTGGGAGTGTAAACTTTCAGTTTCCAGGGCTCGAGAGCTAGAGGCCCGAATGATCGAAGTGTGTCTTCAAGGCAGGAAGAGTTGATGTCCAGTGTCGATGGGCAAAGCGCTGGACGAAGAGTCCGTCGATTGGATCCTTACGACGGAAAATATCGAAGCGCTGCCGCTTCAGCCACTTCGACTGCAGAATCGGGCATCGTCCAGATGCCATGCGAAAGGCGACTGTTACGGTGTCAGAATCGGAAATGACTAATTTTGGTCAATTCGTCAATTCTGAAAGCAGGCGGTATCGTGTCGAGATTGCGCAGCGTGCTCGCCGCATGCGGGCTCGAGGAAGGTTCTGTTGAACTTTTCATCGCATGTCTCGTGACCTCAGAAGACCGATTCAGCCGAACGGCTGTCGTGGAACTGAGCTCAATTTGGGTACAGAACGTGGGGGCGGAAGCTGTAGAGATTTTCAGGCAGCAAATCGAACGGATTCTCACCGAGCTGCGCAGTGTGCACCGTCCATATCTGATGGCCGATTCTCGACCCGGCATTGCATGGGGAACGGCACAGCCAGGCTACGTCGTCATGTTTCTGCTAGCTATGGCCTCCTGATATTACTTACTGGGAACTTACTGATACTTACTTGGAACCAAATTCGGACCAGACGTGGAAGACTGACTGAACGTGAGGGCGCTTTTCGTGAAATGTGTGCAGGGTTTGGACTATGCGATAGCCCAAGCAGCGACTCATCAGATGAGGCTGGTTCTCAGTCTGATCAATAACTACAATGCCTTCGGTGGAAGGCCTCAGTATGTACAGTGGGCACGCAATGCGGGGAACTATCTACCTTCTGAAGACTCATTCTACACCCACTTCGTCACCCGACAATGGTACAAGAATCACGTGAAGGTATTGGCGATCCCTCACTCCGACTCCTAGAGCTGCAGCTGGATTCGCTGGCTGCTGTTTGTAGGATTTGGAGGAAATCCATCTCTTGAATCAAGTCTTGAGAACCATCACACAGGAAGAGATACGGCACAGATGCCATAGGATGTTTCATGAAGGAATCGAATCCTCATACCATCGAGTACTCATCAGGCTGCAATGTCGTTTGATTCTGCAGAAAATTTTGACGAGAGTGAACTCTATTACTGGAGTTATGTACAAAGATGATCCGACGATCCTGGCCTGGGAACTCATGAACGAGCCTCGCTGTGCATCTGACCCTTCGGGTGACACTTTGGTGGTAAGCATGCTTGACACGCGCTGCACAACAGTATTCACTTTTGCACAGGCACCGACTTAGCCAACTTTTCTTGCTTCTGCACGATTCTCCTGAGTAACACAAGTTTAGGCACTGGTCTCGCAAATATGACTGAGAAGCTTGTCAGTCAATATACTCGGAAATCATGTTACTTCGATTATATTCAAGGGAGATGCCAAAAAGCATGAGATGAGGTATCCTCTCAATAACGCAAAAGCATGTCATGGTTACGAATTAGAGCTAGAGCCAAGGGCTCATGTAAGTTTGAATATCCGGTTTAGACTCCAGGTCAAATTATGGCTAATTCTCTTCGATTTTATTTGAGTTGTCGATGAAGAAGATAAAGTCTGGTGATACTGAAAAAGAAATCTCGGGAATTCCTCAAAGACTAGAGCTAGATCATATAGACTGGGAAGGGTTTGATGCCATCATTATATATGAGATATGAATAATCACTCCGCATTGCAGAAGTGGGTGAGGGAGATGGGAGCCTACGTGAAGTCTATAGACCAAAACCACATGCTGCAGGCAGGAATGGAAGGGTTTTATGGAGCGAGCACTCCCGAGAGGAGGTGGGCCAATCCCAATGAAATGGAGGGGCTGGGCACAGATTTTATTCGCATCAACCAAGTTACTTACATCGACTATGCAACTGTTCACTCGTACCCAGATCTTTGGTAATAACCCTTCTTCCCATTCCTTACTGTCGACGAGATGCAAATAGATGCACAAGATGCAAAGATTGGATCTACTCCAACATAGATTGATTGCACCTAACCCCCAAATCAGAAGCATCTGTACACGTGATGGGAGTCTTTCAGATGATACCGATGTCTCAAATTGGTCTTAGTCAAAGGTGACCGTATCACAGGGCTTTCAACGAAAGTCGACCATCGTTTTGACTACGCCCTTCGACTCGCACCAGTATTCGAATTATTGCCCGGTTCGTGCGCCTCTGGTCTGCGACTGTCGATCCAGACGGTGACTTTTTCCGTCGACAAGATCACTGAAATTCAGCTGTTGCATTGGGTTGCATGCTGTCAAACTGATTTCATTCCACTAGTTTTCTGTAATCCGAGCGAAATTCTCACGGGGCGCCGCTAAATAGGAGGTAGGGAAAATGCTGAAATGAGACTCTTCCGAGACTTCTGAGATCGAAGTAGATGGACGAGTCAACGACCTTCGCCTTCTCGCCAAAATCTAGAAGTCTGTCTATCTGCTAAAAGCTGAATAATAGAAACTCGAGGGAGGAGTGAGATTGTCACGAGCGGAGACTCGGGGTTCGATGCATCCCAAACCGGACGAAGAAACTGATGATAATAATAATAATGGAGCAGAGTGGAAGAATTGAATCGGTGAGAAGGAACTGTGAGGAGGGGGAGCTAATGGATCGAGGCGAGAGTGTGCAGGCTGCCGCAGGCGAGCGAGGACACGCAGCTGAGCTTCCTGCAGATGTGGGTCAATGTGCACATCGAGGACGCGAGGGACTTTCTGAACAAGCCCGTGGTGTTCTCGGAGTTCGGCAAGAGCGACCAGGCGCAGGGCTACAAGCCCTCGCAGCGGAGCGACTTCTTCTGGGCCGTGTACAACAGCGTGTTCTCGTCGGCCAACACGGGCGGCGCTGCGGCCGGCGCTATGCTCTGGCAACTCCTGCCGCAGGGCATGCAGCAGTGGAGCGATGGGTTCGCCGTCACGGCCGACGATCGTTCGTCCGCCAACATCATCTCCTGGCAGTCCCAGCGCCTCAATCGCGTCACCGAGTTCCTCTACTCCCGTGCCTCCCATTCCTCGCGCGGTCAGAACCTCGAGCCCCATGTCTAGCGCTTCCCCCTCCCCTCCCCTCCCCTGCCCTCCCCTCCGCTGCCCTGCTTCGACCGAGTCGTCCGTCGTGGAACACGAGGAGAATATTGCCTTGTGCTCGAGATCATGGCATGCAGAAGCCCTGAATAGCGTTCCGATTACGTAATCATCCGCATCATGAGTGACTAATATTCATCTCGATGTGGCTTCTTCTTCATATTCTTCCTCTCTTGCATCATCGGGGCACATACTATGCAGACGTCTTGGACATGGTTCGCACAGGTCCACGAACTGAAGAGTATGATCTTGTGCCCAGATGGACCTGAGTGCCTTCGGTATGAAACCAATCCTTTTCGTTGTGAATCTCAGAAATCAAACGCGCAATTGTCCGTCCAATGATTGCCGGTCGACATCACCATATCTACGAGTCGATGGTGCAGATTGTGCTATGTATGATCAGATTGACATTGCTGCCTCTGAAGAGATATACAGAAAGTGCACAATTCGAATAAAAATTTGCCATCTTGTTTCATCAAACGGAGCGAACTGTATATAAATTTCGGTAGTGGCTGGCTACAAACCCACGATCTGTACCTGTAGACGAGAACAGAGCTGAAAATTCTCGAGGTGCAGGCCTCGAGTAGCTTGCTGTTCATGAAATGTTTCCGGCAGGCGGAATCCTAGGTTTACATGAACTCCTGTGATCGCTGCAAGTGTGTAATTCTAATCCAACACATGTACAAATATCTGCCAATTATTGTACCGTATGTTCTGTACGTCCTTGGAGTCATTGGCCTATGAAGTGACGCTCACACCTGACATAAGGACACGCTCAAAGGATTTTCCACGCATATGGTATTTTCAATCATCTTACATCTCCCCAACGCGGAGCTTCTGCAGTTTCTCTAATTCTTGTTTGTGGATGCGCGAGCTTAATGGACATCAGATCGTGTCTCGAATGGATTTCTGACTTAAGAAAATCGAAAATAATTGTGATTTCAGTGCTCGCTGATTTGCCATCATGTTTCTCAGTGACCCGGATGCTGTGAGCTTTTCAGACTGTTCAATGTCTTCGAAGTCCTGTTTATGTTCGTGGGGTCCCGAGACATACCTGCGTCGTTCAGCCTCAGCCTCCCCTGCCTTCATCTTCTATACAATACACGGAATCAGTTCCTCGAGCATGCAAGAGGTTCAAGTCTGCCCACATGGAAAATGTCTTATCTCCTAAACTGGACATTCATTCAGTGAGCATCGGCAATCTTCTCGCAATCGCCTCCGTATGCAATCTACAAGTCGACTGGGACGTGCACTTCAAGACAAGAACGACGGGATGATTTATGAACAGCCCGTCCTATGAAGAGATTGAAATGCTCATATCAAGAATATTTTCGTTCTTACGAATTGTATACTCATACCGGACACAAGAGCTAGTTTTATTTATTTGTACGAGAAGGCATCGAAGCTCAAAGTCAAATTAGCCCTTGGAGCCGAGCACTGTCTGATAGAGATGCCGTACCCCAGATTACGAACATGTCAGTTCATTCAAGCTTCCACGAACTTGTGAGAGAATACAGATTCTAAATGCTTTTCAATAATTCGAAAGCTCCCGTGTCAATTGGTATCAAGCGTTGACGCAGTTCGTCTCTCAACAGTCCTGATTCAAGTAGGGTCAGCGGTGGGCATGCTGCTGAGAGAGCTGGATTCCTCCTGAGGTGATGACGCAGGTGGAAGCAGGAGAAGCAAAATCAAGTAGGGATGTTGATTCAACATTGTTATAGAATCCAGAATCTGACCACGGTCGTACGAGTTGTATCGGATAAACCTTGGAGCTCGTTCCAGAGCAACAATCCTTGATATCGTCGTGCACAGACGACCCGCTAACAGAGCGAAGAAGCAGATCCAACCTGAGACTGTTGTAAGGATCATTTCCCGGCCGTAATCTCCAGACAGTGAAGAACCGTTTTTCCCTCGCCAGAACCTTTGCCTCCTGCCTGACTTATCAGACTTATCAACCTTAGAGAAAGTTCAGTTTGCAGAACGCCACTCTAGATCATGATCGAAGCGTGGACATGAATATTATATGCAGAACAGTATAATGGCCTATGAACGAACTCCTGCTACCTCTCATCTCCCATTTCTTTTTCGAAGCTGCCTCGATATTGCCACCAGCGTCGACGCCGATCGCTCGAGTAAAATTTCCTTCGAGCAGCTGCTGAGTGGTCCTACTTTTTCCGTGCTGCTGAAACTTAGACCTCCCCGAGAGCATCCTATTGGATCCTATCCGGTAGGCAGTAGGTGACCCGTGACCAGCCGGTAGTCACACCATCCGGCATTTGGACAGTCCACAAGCTACTACGTTGTCGTGACACCAGAGAGGTGACTCGACTACGTACAGTTTACGTTCCCTTCCTGCAGGGGCACTTATTCATCGTCTTCCTGTTAAGGATCAGTTTTACAATCTCGAGTCGAGGCTCGATTCAATGTTCTATCAGAGCTCTCATGACTGATTTGAGACTCCGCTAGCCTCCTCGATTGCAATCGAGGAGGGAATGCCTTCTGCCAGCCACTGAAGAACAAAGGATGCCCAACTTCTAAATTTGTGCACCGTCAAGCGATCCACACGAAATTGCCCAGAAATATTTTGTTGGACAAAGTGCCGGCTCGCCTCGAAGCTGAAAATCTTTCAATCCATTAGTCACTCTTCCCATCGATTTGCAAAACCAGCCGTCAAGGAACTCCAGTTGAAGTGATTGACGAGGTAGTGGGCGACGCTGTAGAGTACCCGTATGCAAGTGCATTTGGGTCAATCAACTGGGCAGCTCTGAACCAAATCTGACCTCTCATACTGTACAAGGGTTCTATTCACATTCATGTCTCCCAGCCATGACCGAACACCTTGAGGCTACGAAGAGGGTATTCAGCTACATCAAGGGAACATTGAATCTTTCATTGAACACAGGAGCTCCAGAGTGAACAGTCTATAGTATGGATATTCGGATGCATACTGGGCTGGAGACATGACCGACAGAAAATCAACATCTGGTATGGTTTCGCTTTTTCTGTAGGAGAAGTTAGCTGGTTTCTCAAAAGAAAAAGACCAGAGGCGGACTATGTGGCTCCAAGCATATGTTCAACGGAATCAGTGAGACTGAGAAGATTCCTTTCATATCTTAGAAGATTAGTCTCTGATCTTAGAATATAGGAGCAAAGTCGTATGTAACATTTGTGTGATCACCAGTCAGGCGTAGTTTGACTGGTTAGTACTAAGTTTCATGATAGAAATGAAAATCTTCCCTAACATTTTGTCAGAGACATAGTTCAGCAGGGAGCTCTTTGTGTAGAATACTGTCCAATTGTGACATGGCTACAAACTTGTTTACCAGTTATTTAGCTCATAGGTGTGACTTATAAGAAAGATCTTTGGATTCCAACTGATCGAGTATTGGACATCCGAATTCCAATAGGTAACCGGTTACCAGCCGGTAGACATAGCATTGGGAAGTTGGACAGTACAGAGGATACCATGCGACACCATAGAGGTGCAGAGTACCTGACCAGGATATATGTATAACCTCTCCCCCCTACCGGTTATTCATTCGTTGTCTTTTTTTTCACTTTTCTGGCTCAAGTCTCTCGCTCCTCTTGCTCCTGCACTCGGAATACAACACATCACTTAGCAGATGATTTATTTTGTCTGAGAGCTGAACCATCGTGAGATCCAGCAGCGTGTCGAGGCGATCTTCTCGAAATCGAAGCCCACCGGAAGCTGCACTATTGACTAAATACCGGATTATCTGTAAGCCACGCAATGAACTTAGATTGCAGGATAAGTCAATGCTAGTTCGGCTCCTAATTAGAATGAGCTTATTAGATTAGCTGCCGTAATGCATGGAAATTCTCGAGTTCTAGAACTTCTACTCACACAAGCTAAATGTGGAACAAATGGCCGTCACAAAAAGACTGGTCGGTTACCACTTCCAGTGATCATGGTTATTTAATTCCAAGTCCCCTTGATTCTCACCTGGATATCAGAATGCTTATATGTCTCGAAAACGATCGAAATGCTAGAATGATCTGCTGAGGGGTGCCTTTAGGTGTCCCTGCTGTTTTCTCAGATTTCATGAGGGCAGGAAAATAAGGACCACATTCCAGCTTGTAGAAGGTATTTTATTTGGAGGATAGCTGCTTTGATACTGTCACCAACGTTGACACGTTAGTGACAGTATCAAGGCAGCTTCTTATAATACTCATTCGGTCACTAATTTATCTGCACATTGTTAGCCAACTTTGCGCAGAAGAAGACCTGGGGTGCAACCACCAAGGAGGCAGGGAGTGATTGATTTGCATCACGTCGCAGTCGATCTGCAGGTTTACGCGAAAAACGACTGGGACTTAGTCCAAGGGGAAGACACAAGATGCCTTACCTTCCATTTGCGAGATGATTCCACGGTTAGGGAATATTGCACTCTCAATCCTGTTACATAGATTTTAGTGGCACCTTAAGATTTGTCTTACGGTGTAGGTCACTGTTTGAATACAGTAAAGGTGAAGGATCATGCTTATATTCTAGTATTGAGTTCGGCCCCGCGAATAGTTTGCATCAATCCCAGCATTCACGGAGGCTTCACAAGAACATGCACCGTTTCTCCCCTTCCTTCCGTCACCTCCGAGAGTGCAACTTATTCCGTCTCCCACTGCACGTCCATAGCAGGAACCGGCCCGCTCCTCCTGCTGCTCTCGCTCCGTTTCATCCTCAGGGACCCTTTCTCTCCTCCCACCGATTTTGCGAATTTCATGTGCGCATTTTGATTGGACTGTACGTGCACACACATAGCCATCGGCATCTGAAGGTCGACTTCGGGTGTCCGGGTATATAAGGCCCGACTCTAGGCAATCGTACTCACTGACTTACTTGCTCTTCAGCTTTCTAGCTGCATTCTCACTGCTACATCTTGTATACGATAGTGTCGTGAAGTTACTGCGGTTTCATAGGTGCAGCAGAAGTGTAGAGGCAGGTGAGGTGATCATTGGGTCACTCATTGATCATACCAGGACTTGTAGTGACAGATTCAGATCTGCAAATCAAGGAACTTTGGGAGAAACCCGGATTCTGAAGGGGAGTTGGAACCCTGTTCGTGACTTAGTTCCCGGCACGTCTGAATCTTGATCTCAAATGTACAATGGCCACAACTCGCCCCACTGAAGTTGTTCGAAAGGCAATCGTCGAGCAGCTGGAAATTGAACTTTTCTAACGTGAATTTTATTTGAAAGTGCGCATCTCCAACATCCAGGCTTTCTTGCAAACTACCTGCAGATATGGCCACCACTTCGACCAGCGTCAGGCGGTTTACTTTACTGCTGTTCGCTCTGCTTGCTCAACTGTCGGTGACGGTCACAGCAGGGCTCACTGGAGGCATCATCCGTCGCAAGGGCACTGCCTTCGTGGACTCCGCAGGAAACCCATTCCTGGTCCATGGATGCAACTTCTACTGGTTGATGTACCAGGGTGCATCACCTGCTAGTCGTCCGATGGTGGACAAAGTATTCCAGGATGCCCAAACGCTGGGACTCAACGTTGGGCGCACCTGGGCTTTCTCTGATGGTGGCGACAGAGCTCTTCAGATTTCTCCTGGAGTTTACGACGAGAACGTCTTCAAGGTAACTAAAGATGCACATTCGTGGGCATTTTGAGAAACTATCGAACGAACCTGCACATTCCTTTTCAGGACTTTTTCTCTGCTTCAAACTAAGCCTTCTGGAAGCTACAGATTTTGAAAGCCTGCTGATACTGATTTATTTTATACTTAATATGCTGTAACCTTCAGAATCAGCTCTTGCTAATACATGCGCTACTGATTACAAGGATTTTTTCCTCTCTGAGTCTGAAGCATCTACTCCTGACTAATCCAAGCCTGGCCATCTCTCGATTACGTCGCATCACGTTTCAGAGCCTGCATGTATGCTATAGCTTATATTTAGTGATACTGGAGTGGACAGCTGAATACAAGCTCATGATCACCTTTATTTTCGCGCTACTTCCTAGGTACTTCCTTAAGCTAATATGAGCTTATTATATAGTTCTGGAGCACAGAACATCAATATCACAGTCCACAGATATAAAATCTCGCTCAGCCCTTACAGCAATACAGCTTCCAGGCTACTGTTCCATTTGAAAACTGCTGGACTTGATTGACTAGTGTAGTAAGTCTCAGCAACATCCGCGTGGTTAAACCGTGATTACACTGCAGTTTGATACAACCCTTTGCAAGTGAACCTTCGTCACTAGATGTTGATACTCCCTCAGGTTCGGAGCTGTTCGGTTTTAGGAAGCTAGAACCATTTCGAAGCATCTGAACAGAAACTTGTCGGACCGTAGGCCCCGGACCTGGGAGGTCATGTGTTAGTTCCTGGAGTGTATTTCGGGTGGACGAGACGAACGGCGACTTCATGAACAGTCAACTATGCATGCAGAGGATCGCGCAGTAAATTATGGGGGGTTCAAGTCGTTGTATTGACGCCAAGCTCTCGAAATTTTCAAACGAAACTTTCGAGAACATGATGATTTTGGGGAACTGAGAGCAATGTGATACTTTGATTGTGGTTGGCTACCGATGCTCGAATTTGGGAGCACTACCTTACGGCGTGAAGTGGTTTGTGATGCTCACGTGCAGGCATTGGATTACGCCGTATACCAAGCTCAGAAGCACAACATGAGACTTGTGATGAGTCTGGTCAACAACTACGATTCTTACGGAGGAAAGCCGCAATACGCTATCTGGGGGCGCCAGAAAGGCTTGAATTTGGCGAACGATGATGCGTTTTACACCAACGCCATGCTTCGAACGTGGTACAAGAATCACGTCAAGGTACATTATTAGAGTCTCTCCATGTACTTTGCTCATGTATTCGTACACGATCCACTCCCTTACGTACGTAACTGGAGACGCATTCTCACTGCTATCGCTCATGTCCACCACTCTCTGCAGAAAGTGTTGACGAGAGTGAACACCTACACCGGAGTGGCATACAAGGACGATCCCACCATCTTCGCCTGGGAGCTTATGAACGAGCCCCATTGCGAGACCGACCCCAGTGGCAACACTATCGCGGTATGAACGAAAACTTCTAGCACGCGCTGAAATGTGCATCGGATTGGACTCTACGAGCTTGAGAGAGCTGGTTCCCACACGAGGATCGTGTTTACCGATGTCTGAACATCTATTCGTCTTTGATTCCGGTTCTGCAGGCTTGGGTGAAGGAAATGGCTGCTTATCTTAAGTCGATCGACAGTAAGCACCTTCTCGAGATCGGGCTGGAAGGATTCTACGGCGCGAGCACGGCCGCAACCCGCAGGTGGGCCAACCCCTTCGAGTCCGACGGTGCGGGAACCGACTTCATTCGCCTGAACAAAATTGCCAACGTCGACTACGCCACAGTCCACTCCTACCCGGACCTCTGGTAAGCTCGGATTTCTCTCGAACCGCTACCAATTCGTTGGCAGCAGCTGCATGCAAGCCCCGAGCTCTTGTCAACCTGCAGCTCTCGAGCTCGGAGGCAGGCAGGCAGGCCAGAGGATTTTTGAGTCATTTAATACTCCTTCTGTTGCGGTCGGGTAAAGTGGTTTCGGAGATTTTGGGTGCTGCTGAGGGTGGGACGGGATCGTCTGACGTGATCGGATGAATGGGTGTGTGTGGTGTGGTGGCTGCAGGCTGCCGTCGTGGACCAACGCCGCGAAGCTGACGTTCCTGCAGATCTGGGTGAACATTCACATCAAGGACGCAACGAACATCCTCAACATGCCCGTGCTGTTCTGCGAGTTCGGTAAGAACAGCCGCGTGCCGGGCTTCGTGCCCGCGCAGCGGCAGCAGTTTTTCTGGACCGTCTACAACAGCGTCTTCTCTTCCATCAGCAAGGGCGGCGGCGGCGCTGGCTCCATGCTCTGGCAACTTCTGCCCAAGGGCATGGAGGCGTGGGACGACGGCTTCGCCATCTATGCCAGCGACTCCTCCACGTCCAGCATCATCGACGTCCAGACCTCGCGCCTCAGCAAGGCCCGGGCCACTCTCATGGCCGCCGCCGCCGACAAGCCCAAGTACAGGCGACTGCTGCTCTAGTCAGCGCCGCCCCCCTCCCTCCCCTCTCCGTCGATCCAGCTCTCCGTCGGTCCCCCACGCTTTCGGGGGACCTTGAGAGAGAGCGCAAACCATGGAAAAACATCGTGCCCCATTCTTTTCAGCTTTCCGTCGGGAGCGGCCTCGATGGCTCACCTTCAGAGAAAGCGCCAAACTCTGTAAACAGTTCGCCTTTTCCTTCCGTCCCCATTCCTGCTTCCCTTCGGCCTCGCCCGAAAGTGAGAGCGCACCCGTAGCCAGTCTAGAGCCAGTCGGAAGAATCGTAGGCCAGTTTGTCGACTAGAATTCTTTCAGCTCTCCTCCTCGACCGGACCCTTGCAGACTTGTCGAGGGCGAGTGTGCCACGTTAGTGAACACTAAGGGAACTCTCTGTGTGTGCTTGTGTGTGTGAGGGGACGACGTCCCAAATTCAATGTCATTACAGATAGGGGTACGATTCTGACAGAATTGACGACCCCGTACACGTCACATTGAGTTAGTCCAGTCTCTGCTTTCCTTCGGGAGGCAGTCACCGTATAAACCTGTGACTAGATAGATAGATAGATAGACTGATAGATAGTTAGATGGATAGATTGACAATGTCCGATTATCTTCCTAACTGATCGAGTCCGTCAGTTGTAGTGCGAAGAATCAGCTGGAGAAATAACGCATCTGGAGTAAATCCGATCGATGTGATCTGCTCTACAGTGTGGGGCAGCAGCTCGGTTCGTAAAATCATTATCTCAACCTCATCGAATAAGTGGCTCCAGATCTAGAAGCCATGACCTTTCCTAGTGTCATGGGATATCGCCTCCAGGTTAGCTCCGGATAGAGAGTAGCCTAGGACCTTAGCGAGCATGTAAATCTCATCTGTTCTACGAATAATTTCTTATAAATCGCACGATATGTGCATATTTCCCGGGGAAAAATCGGTCCATGTGAATCTGGTGGCAGTTGTGAACTTATGTCTACATGTGAACTTTGTTAGACCTTGCTTGGGCTTTCGACAGCTTGTAAGGAGACCATGTGCATCTCAGCTGCACGCATGGCTACTTTGCAGCTTCCACATTTGCATTCATTCAGACTGTCGTCTCTTGCACCAGTTCTCAGCTCCCAACTCCCAACTCCCAGCAGCGGGGTAGTGTTACTTTGTACGTCCAGTAAACCTCACGTGTGTCCCACGTCATAGCTTGAGGATCTTCCTATCGAAGGGTTTACGCAAAATGTGTACCAATACGTAAGCTCATTGCTTGAACCTTGTGTACAAACATGCTGTGATCAGCCAATACTCTGATACGGTGGTGTATCACCTCCCTCACTCTTAGGACGAAGAGTGCGGCCATGACTTGAGTTATCCTACATACCTTGACAAATGATAGATGGACATGTGTTCCAATTCAATTCAGAGTGCACGTACTTACAAGGAATACAGATTTGTGGCATTCATTTCAGGACTTCATAGTTGATGGCTAAGTGCAAGGAACTTGTACAAATTAACGATCACCCCAGCCGTATGTTCAGATATTAAAAAAGTCGAGGATTTGCCTCTAATTATGTATTGGCGAACCGTCCATAGCGTGTTTTTATTATGCTCTCTCTGGCGAGATTCATTTCATAATTCTTTTCTTCCAGGTGAAGAGGAGATGAAGGAAAGCAGGTAATCTTATGCTCAGAGCTCGACTCGCTGTCTTGGAATTGACCAATCGAGCTCATAAGACGGCCTGCTTTGCTTCATTTACTCGGCGTGAGATGGCTCGGTGCTACGATCATGTTTTTCAAAATCAGATCACGACGAATGTCAACACGCCCACCCGCACTGCAACCTCTTCCCTTTCCGCCCGATACCTCAGTATGGGCACCTCAGATCTGCCATGAGTCGTTTCAGAGTGGAAACAGAGAAATTGATTGGATCAGGCAATCCGAGCTGCTGTTGGTCGCCCGCATTCGGATCAGAAAGGTAACGTCATGCCTGCTTCTCTGTACAATTCCAGCGTCGAGCTCTGGTTGCAATTATGGGGATTGTGCTGCAGCCGAAGAGCGCAGATGCGAATAAAAACCCCTGCGGACTTTGTCGGGCACAGAAGCTCGTGTTCAGGTTGCCGGCGCTCGCTTGTGGAAAGTACTGCGGGTCAGAAAGAGGATCCCAGGGCCGAAACAGGACGACGGATTTAGATCGTGTTCGATAAGCGGAGAGACATAGAGATTCGAATGTCATCACTTGTGGATATGGCTAGTCGGCTTGGCCGACATCGGACGGACGTTTCAGGGGGGTTGATTTCCCTCTACCTAAAGTTGATTCATTCCCTGTCCCGCATTCGAATTTAGGTCTCACGTGTCTCTGGATTCTGATTCGTAGCGACACCTCGCTTCCGTGCCCCGAACCAACCCCCAATGCTCTGCCTTTCGCTTGACCCAACCTGATGCAGCTCTCTCCCCGTTCCTTTTATTTCCCTGATGATCGAAGTTTTAGATTCTACAATTGCGATTTCGACGCTGTGAGGCGCTCAGCATCAGGTTTAGGTTGCAGAAACTAGAGCGACCAGAGTACCGCCGGTCATAAAATTACGTAAAGAAATCAGCGGGGAAGAGTGGGCATGATCATGCCCCCCACGGCACACGGAAGCCCGGACCTCACATCAGACTCGATCGAGAGACGTGCTCAGATCCAGTGATTTCGAAGCAACCTCAATGTCGGAATTCGCATCTTCGCAGAGCGAAACGAGGAATCGTCATCTCAGGAATCGGCAACTTTGCCATCCCCGTCCGTGCGGCGAATAGCCGATGACGTCCACGCCGAGAACCAGTTCCGACCATTCGCGTCTCTCGACGATTTAGGTGAAGCCGATCAAACCCTACATCTCTTCTCCCACAAGACCGGAATGCGGAAAGTGGCCTTCCGTGGGGATCCGCATCCGTGCGCAGCACAAAGGTGGTGAGGGAGAGAGATAGATCCATAGACAGACAGACAAACAGACTCCAGGCGAAGTGCGTGCTCGAGAAGCAATCACGCAATGTGAAATTTTTCGCATAGTGCTGAAGAGCAGACGAGGAGAGGAGAGGCGAGGTGCGTGATCGAGAAGCAATCACGCAATTTGAAATTATTCGCATAGTGCTGAAGAGCAGACGAGGAGAGGCGAGGCGAGGTGCGCGATCGAGAAGAAATCACGCAATTTGAATATTTTCGCATCGTGCTGAAGAGCAGAAGAGGGGAGAGGCGAGGTGCGTGATCGAAAAGAAATCACGCAATGTGAAATTCTTTCGCATCGTGCTGAAGAGCAGACGAGGAGAGGAGAGACGAGACGAGGAGGATTGGAGCGATGGGGAAGAGAGGATTGGGAGGGCACGAGCCACTGCAGAAGGACGACGACTTCCACGTCGCGCTTCTGCATCTGGCCGTCAAGGAGGACGATATTCTGGCCGTTAAGGATCTGATGCGCGTCGCGGCCTGGGTGGAGGCGGCGGACCGCAGCGGGCGCAACGCGCTGCACTGGGCGGTGGCCTTCGGCAGCAAGGAAGCGTGCGAGCTGCTGCTGGCGCAGAGCGGCGACGCGGGCGTGCTCCACGCCGACAAGACCGGGCGCACGCCGCTGCACTTCGCCGCGATCTGGGGGCGGAGCGACGTCGCGAAGCTGCTGCTGGGCCGCGGGGCCAAGGTCAACACGACCGACAGGAAGGGCATGACCGCGCTGCACTACGCGGCGCAGAACTCCAACCCGTTCCTCATCCGCTCGCTGGTCAAGCGCGGCGCGGACAAGCAGGCGCGCGACAGCCGCAGGCGCAACGCCTTCCAGGTCGCGGTGCAGTGGGACGCGCCGCAGACCATTCTGGACCTCCTGGACCCCGACCTCGTGACGGACCCGCCTCCCAAAGTCGCCGTCGAACTCCCTCAGGCCCGCCGGTTCGCAGAGACGCTCTCGCCCAGGTCGCACCACGAGGTGCACGTCCCGCCGTTCGGGTCCGACGGCAACAAGGACTTCCCGGCGGAGCTGGTGAAGATGGAGATGCAGAAGCAGGCCGACAAAGCGAAGTCCATGCTGCGCAAGGTCGTGGCCAAGAGGATGAAGAAGGAGGAGGCGCCAGGCGCGCGATCCAAGGAGTTCGCGCTCAAGGCGCTCGCGGCGCGACGCCGGAAGACGGTCGTCGAGCACCAGATGAAACGGACGGCGGAGCAGAAACGCCTGCAGCAGATGAAGCGCGAGACGCCGAAGGACGGGCCGGCCGTCGGGAGCTACAGGTCGTCGCGCGCCACGTCGCCTCCGTCGTCGCCCGCGGGGAAGAAGCGCGCCGACGCGTCGCCCTCCAAAGCCCCGTCCGGCGCGTCGTCCCACTCGCCCAGGTCGCCCAGGCCCGCCGCGCCGGGCCTGACGCCTCCGAGCTTCTCGCGGCCTAACACGCCCCAGGCGTTCATGCCCGGCAGCGCCGCGCGGCCGCTGCGCCCGAATCCCAAGGCGCGAGACGGGTGGCCGAGCCCGCCCGAGAGCATCCGGAGTCGACATGAGGCTGCCCGCGCCCGGGCCCGCAAAGGCCCGGCCCAGCCGAAGGCTCAGCCGCAGCACCAGCAGCCCCGTTGGCGAGCCCAGCCCGCGCGTCTCCCGTCGCCCGCGCGCCTTGCCCTCCACGAGTTCGTGGGCACGTCGGCTCGCCACAACGCCCTCGGAAAGAACCCTTCTCCCACCGTCCACGCGTGCGTCGACGTGCGCAAGCTCCAATCCCAGTGGCTTTGACGCGTCACCCGCCCGCTCCCCCCTTTCCCCTTGCCCGCCTGCCCGCCGTCCCTCCTCCCTCCTCCCTCCCCCTCGCTCGCTCCCTCGAACGAAGCTCGATCGCTGACGGACAAGAGCGACAGTCCTCGAGCTGGTGCGGAGTCCACGTGCTCGCGCATGGGGCCGGGGCCGAAGCCGAATCTGATCCGTGCGGGCGGGCTTCGATTGTCTGAGGATGCCTTGGGATGGATCGGGATTTGGGTGCGCATTACGGATGAATCGTCGAGAGGATTCGGGTCTCGGGGCCACTCGGAACTTCTCGTCCGCTGCGGATCGAGTGGTCGCTCGGCCTGCTGCTGCCTGCGGTGGCTTTTTTGCGCCGAGGGTTCGAGAACGACGATGCGGGCTTCGCAGCAGGGCGCACGTTCCCTTCGATCGAGGAGAGGATGGATGGCGATGAATGGCGAAAGTTTGACCGTGGGGTGGGGGGGAAAGATCTGATCGATTCGGTGTGAGTGCGGACAATAGATCGATCATTCCCGCACCGTCTCGGGCGCATGAGGACAGTCGGGGAAAGTTCTTCCACTGAGCATATCAGAGGTCGAGAAAATCCGACCCTTTCCGAACCTTTCCACTTTCGGCATACGAGACTGGAGCACGCGAGGTAAGACAACGGACTCGACTGACATGACCACATTTCTCCCATCTCTTCTTTAGCCTTTTAGGGGGAGCTCTCTCTCGTGCGCACGAACAAAACAAAATCCAAGTGCCCAGGCTCGCGAGGGATCACTCGAACCATTCACATGTATCCAACAGAAACGATGACCGAACACGTCTCGGCGCGAAGAGGGCCGGTCTTCGCCACCTCAGTCGCCAATTACGCAGAAGAACTCTGCTCGAAAGACGCGGGGCTAGATCTGCACCGCCTCAGGGATGAGACAAGTCGAGGCCGGATCCGGACCCGACTCGGAGCCTGAGACGTCCACTTGCATCGGTCAAATGAAGGTCGAACCTGCGACACTGTAACTCTCTTTGCCTGTCTGCAAAAGCAACAGGCTCGCCTGGCACCCGAGGGCGGGGTCCCAGCCCCACCCTCCGAGACGAATGAAACGTCTCACTGATTGCTGCCAAAGCCCAGCAGGAGCTTCTCACTGCACACCTGTAACCTCTCGATCGGAGCAGATAACTTCGGACCGTGAATTTGAACTCGGTGCACACAATGACATCTGCCACTGTGCAGACCCTACGGCTTCGAGAAACTAATAAATAATTTCCCTGGCGTTCGAGCTCCTGGGCCTCGAGCCGTATTCAGCATGGAGCAAAAAGTCGGCTGTAGACATCTGGACGTCGAGACCGGTAGTGTGGTTGAGGCCGGTACATCTGGTGGCTCCGATGATTGGTGCAGAACGGGGAGACGACACACGTCGTATGAAAAATGGTGCATTGGTCGAGATATCTTTTCCGTTGACAAGCCGAACCAATCGGGTCGATTTGGCAGATGCCTTTTGTAGTAGGTAGGTTGTATTCGTTTCTGGCTTGCTAACGTAAGATTCCTCACTCTGTCAATTCCGTCTTGATAGAAGTAAACTTTGCCACCACCTTGCCCAGGAGAAGACAGGAACCTGGATCCATCCCGTCAAAAATCTTAGAAGACAAACAGGATTGTACATCTTCCCGGTCAAGCATCCAAGACTACTACCAGACTGAGTACTCCTCCTTCACGTTTCTTTGTGTCATGTAAGGCGATTCTCGTAGAACCTTAGTTAGTCATTGGGTGAAAGGTGTGGACCCTTCCGTCCTCGGGCCCGGGTCATTGGCTCCTCATGTCAAGGATGGCTCCAGTCCCACAGTGTTGGACTGCGAAAGTTGTCATGGGGGAAACGGGAACCAATACCACACTGGTAAATTTAGGCCCAGCCCCGACCGCCTTCTCTCGTTGTGTTTCATGAGATGGGTAGATGTGCAATAATTCTCCTGTCTGACACCCATACTGGCACATCATTGCTCGCCGTGCTCATGGACACAATGCGATCCTGATGCACGGAGTTTGTCTCTTCAATCCGCATACAAGGCAACTGTTGTTGCACTGTAAATGTTGTCCTCCCGTTCAACAGCTCGTCCATGTTGTTGGAATTTGTTCTGCATCTGCCTCAAAGCGGAGCACGTGTGTCTTTGACATATTATTAGAAAAGCTGTAAACAAGACTAAAACTTCTTTGATTCGCCCGATATGCCATACTTCGAGAAACTGGCTAATGTATGCTGTCAAAACCAAGGAGTACGTTTGTCGAAGGACTGTGCAACTACACTTCGTTTGCATGAGCTATTGGCTGCACGCTTTTCCAGGCCGACTCTAAGTCTCGACTCAGAGTAACTTTACAGCCAACCCGAATCAGCCCGGGTTCCAGCTTCGCTCCCTCGAGGCACTTGCGAGATTTAGTACCGGATCGTCCAGCATGGAGTGGTCCACACTCTACGAGCTGATCGCACTTTAGGGTGCTGTCAAGCTCACTTACATTGGGCAAACTTCGGTGCACACAGAGCGATATCACATGCGGCTGAAATCACAACCTCATTCGCGATCCGACTCATGCAATGTGGAAGTATCCCAGTTCTAACCAGGTCAAGGTCTTCCATGAACTTTGGGCTGGATGGAATCTGACATTGATGCGAGTGAATTCTGCTCCTCTCCTTCGGCCGACGATCTCATAATACAGGCATGAATCAAGTAACGAGCCGAGGCAGATTCAGCAGACTAGGTTCGAAATCGTCTTGGTTTCGAGGTTGCAACTCACTCGGGGTTGACAGGCACAGGATTGTGTACGATTAGCCCTACCCGAGGACGGAGGATCTTATCGGATCGGGCTCGAGAACCACCGAATTAATGTGCACTTCTCCCCATGGCGACAAATGCATACGGGACCTAGAGAATGCACCAACTCACTCGCACTCGGCTTGTCACCAAACAGCATACTGCACAGGCATTATCCTACCCCAGACCGAAAGATAATATCGTATCAATTCCAATCACCCTCCCAATGGTTTCTCCGAGCCCCTTATGTAAACGATGCGGGGCAGACGGCGAGGCCCAGAGAACAAAGCCAACGAGTAATTCCCTATCTACTGGGAATCATAACCTTTGGGCCGGCCAGTGGAATCACCAGATCGGGGAGGGGCAGGAGACACTGATGCTGAAATCCACGACCAATCGGTGACAGGCACATATGAGTACGTAGCCAGAGTCGTCACTGTATGGGACTGGACCAGCCATACGCATGGGGATGGATTGAGCTTGGTGTAAACCACAAGCTGGCATTGGGCTGGTGCGGTCGATCCATCCATGTAGCTAGCGGTGAAAATCACACGCTAACACCAACCACTGCCTGGGGACTTCGCCGGTGTTCGTTTCCATGGAGAAAGGAAACCTAGGCTGCTCGAGCTGAGAGTAGGGGCCACCAAATGAGAACGAACCTGTGGGAAGACGAAAAGATGCCGTACAATGGAGGTCTTACTGCAAAAGGACTGTGTCACAGGAAAGGTGAAGCCTGGACAACGTCCAGGTTGTGCCCTTTCGCAGTAAATTGCCGCCTGCTTGAGCATCCCCATGTAAATAGTGAACTTGGCCGGCTTCCGGCCCAGAGCTGCTCTGTTCTTGCGTGAGTGGAGAATTAAGGTCGCTTACTTTGGACCGTGGAAATTCAAGCTTATCTTATCTAACGACTTCTGACCATTTCGAGTTGCTATTGTCCATTGGCCTGATAATGGGACGGGCTTAATCTAATGAGAAAAATGCTCAGGAGGCTGACTTCGGTCATAAACCAGCACGAGCAAATGGAAGCAGTCTTACTGTCGATGGTTTTCTCTCGTTCCAGACTAAGGTCATCCTCGCGAGACTTCGTGTTGTATGTGCGTTGCTCTGACATCTACCGAACCAGTTTCGCGTACATGCCATGACGAAAGGCGGCTCTTCCTTTTCCTGATCCCGAGATATTCTTCTTCATCAAATCCCCGCTTTTTCCCCTCTGATACCTTCACGTATAAATTCATGGCGGCACAGCCAGGCTTTCCCATCCTCTCTCAGCTGCATTTCTAGTCTCAGTTGTTGATCTGACTATCCATCCTTGCACGAGCTGGTTCTAAAAGAGAGAGCTCTAAATCGAGTCTCATTCACCTTTGAGTTTGTTCTCAGCTTCGACTTTTCGAGAGCGAGTCCGCTTTGTCATTGGATTCTTGCTATGAACTTTCTATAAATCAGAGCTAGAGTAAGCCTTGTAAGTCGACAGCCCCTCGAACACCTCCTGGCTTTCGCATTCGAATACTTCCGCCCTGAGGCTCTGTCTCGCCAGCACAGGTTCAGCGTCTGGAGAATTAAGGCCAGTCTTACGGATACATAGCGGTCCAAGTGATGGTCTCTTCCAGCTAGCTGACGAGCTATAATACTTCTCGGTCTATCGAACTCATCCTTCCATTGAAGCTCAGAATCACACAGTTGCCTGCTTCGAGTTCTGATTCAAGTATCGGACTTTCACGGGGCATCTTGGGTCACAATTTGCAACTGAGAATTTCTGATCCCTTTGGGTCTTTCGAGGTATAAGTTCCGCCCGGCAGAGCTGGAGCTGAACTGCGAGGCTGCAGTCAAGCGTATTGACGCAAAAGACCTCGGTCCAGCAAAACCCACAGACTTCTAAGCATGGGCAAGTCACGCAAGCAGGACAAGGCTCCGGCCAAGGTGATCCGAGTCGATAGATCGCCATCAGGATCACGGCTGGAACCGATTCGTGAGGAAACCACGGAGCAGACTTACAACGATGAGCCGACTTGCCAATGCGAGGTCCGGTCACCCCACCAGACATACAACAGCTCCCAGCACAGACGATGGAGCTGATCTGTGGCTGCGGCCTCGCTATTCCGGGACCCCCTTCGATAACGCATGCATTTGGCAGCGATTCTCACGGCCCATTTCGTGCGTGCATCAACTGCCGGGGACGTTTGCTGTGGGCAAGTGTAAGATATGTACGAATACTGCAGTTTTTCCTTCTTCCAGTCGTCGTGTGACCAGGAGGAGGTGTGGTTCGTACGTAACATCAGATTTGTGTTTCATGTAATACGTGTGTACTTGGTTCCCATTGAATCCGAGCTTTCTCCACGAGGAAACCTCTGATTCGTCTAATGCATAATATGTTTCTGACGGTGGGCTTCATAGAGCTGGTGCTCTTCTCTTTCACGAGAAATCCCCAGCATCAGTAGACTTTCTGAAGGCGGCGCTCACTGTCAAAGGCATGAAACGCAGCATGCTAGGCTTGTGCCTCCGAGCGAGCGAGCGAGCGGCCCTAGACTGCACTTGGTTGCGTATATGCTTACTATATACGTACTACCTGGCTTGGATTTCGTCATGTATTTGAGCCTCTTAGCTCTTGGAGCTTTAGACTCCATTGTTTTAATACAAGTTACGCTTTGGCCTCTATGCACGATGGAGTCCTACTTAATTCTGAATGTCCGTCCGTAAGACCTCAAAATCAATTCTTCAAATGTTTCTCTCTTCTTCTTCTTCTTTCTCTAGTCTTAGAAGCACTTCCCGCGTTCCTCTGCGAAGAAGGCAACCACATACCAGTCCCACTGCAACTGCAACTGCAAGTATGCGGCACCAAATGTCATTGCAGCGTATGTTCATCTCCAAATCGTAGGAGCAGACAATGACTGACTCAGACGTTACAGCAGCATCATGTGATAACCCACTGTGATGAAACATTTGACCTACAAAATAGAAACTGAGCCAGATTCTACCTCGAGAGGTGACGAGATACTGCATGGTGTGGATATTGAATTATAGATCCAGCTCAAATTTCGCAGCTGCAGGTTTAGCCAATTCGGCTGATGTTAATCGCTTCGAGACCAAAACGCAAGCTCGCACGTGAATCTTTCAGGTGCTTACCTACCACTTCACGTCACAGATAGCTGGCCATGTGCAAGTTCACCTGAGCTGAAATGCTAATGTCAGATACATCGACGATTGCAAATTTCGCCATTACGAAAGTGACCCTCTGAACTTCTACGGACCCCGATAATCCATGCAAGACGAACATTGCTCAGGATCTCGAGGTTTGGGAGGCCCCAAACGTAGCCTCAGCAAGGCAAGACATATCTCAAAGCTGGTTCTGGAAGTCTTACTACGCACTACGTTTTGACCTCTGCATGTAATGACAGCTAGAAGTCCATCTTCTCTTCAATGGAATCTCTTCAACTGGTCATCTGAATTCAACAGCCTATCAGGTCTAGAGTTGATTGGACGTATGCAGCCTCATATGGACGGGTCCCAAGAGTGGAAAGAAGAGAGCCCGAACACAGTACCAAGATCCTCGCTTCGTCCTAAATAAGGCTGACACTGGAAATCTCCTACGGCATGTGCATGAACGCGTGATTGGAGTTAAGTTGTTCAAGATTTTACAATTTCAAAAAGTGGACGAATCTCATAGTTATTATTGCTCAATTTCATTTGTGGCGTTTCAAACTCATCAGATTCTATTCTGCGCACACAGCAGCCTCCTTACTTGCTGGTGGAGACGACAACCGAAAGCCGGGGCCACCGACTCGGTCACAGCCTGAACATCCAGGATTGACACTTCCTGTTGATAAAACGTGGGAGGAATCTCTCGGGCATGATTGCGGCGTCCTTGAGCTGGCCGATCATGAAGAGAACTATCATCTTGTCAAGTCGATTTATCTGTAGCATGTGCATGACACGGAATCTCTCCAACGTAAGTTCGAAAAGTCCAGGACTATCTGGACGGACAACCGAAACAGTGAAGGCGGGAACCTTTTCTGCTCTACGCAGACTCATGCCGCTAGACTATTGCGCACCGAATCAGAACATGTTGGTCGACACCGAGCGGATCGAAAGGCCACGGGAGTACAGCGATGATGTGTATAATATCCCACATTAAACTCAGTGAAGTCCCAATGAAGTCGACCGCGGGTTTGCAGACACGAGGTGCCACCGAACATCAACAGTGGCGAGAAATCACCCCATGAATCGAACTGATCAGATATCGTCATCACAATCACAATATACTCCCATGGGACTGGAACTCCCGGACGCTTTCGAGCTCGAGTTGCAACGCGCCTATCTTGTGACGTGGATTGAATCGACCTCACATGCGCCGTGACGCCGGCATGAAATGAGGTTGTGATCTCCACGTGATGTCCTTAGATAGCATGTTCTTCGAGATCTTGTCTTTTTCCAGCGCGTGTCAGTGTCAACTCAAGCAGGTAGAGCTCTGTATTCCCGGAGGGGAAGAATCCTCCCCTCCCGTCGACTAGTGACGGTCAATGCCGGGCCTTCGACCCCCATTGCTCTTCTCTCATTGGCTGCAGTCCTTGCCCCTTCGTCAGCCCGACTTTTCTCCGTCCCGTTTGATTCTTCCGGAATGTTTTTTTCTTCTCTGATTTTCCAGATTATATTCTTCTCGTCTGCAATTTGAATTTGATGCCGTCAAAACGCGGGTGACCAAGGTCAAGGATCTTTTGCTTGAAGAAATGGTCTCCCATCATCCCAAATTCATTAAGCACGCAACAGGTTGTAACTTTTAGCAAAAACAATCTTAAATTGATTTCGAGATTGATAAGACCTTAATTCCATTGTGTGAAGCTAAGAAGCCATGCTAATTTTTGATTACATGTATAACACAGCTTGTCTTCATTCAGTCTTAGGTTTCTAGAGAATCATACTTAAATACTCTTAGCATTGGTCATTTTGTGTTTGTGTGAAAGAAGTCATCTAGTCCAAGATTTATCTCGAGGACACTAGCAAGCTGAAGAGAAGCCTACACAGGGAAAAGTACACTCTGAGTAGATCTTATGCCAATTAATTTTTTCAATTCCATGCATATTCTTGGTATTCTGACATAATACATATCATTCTCAAATAATTCTTTCCCAAGCCTTAGAAAAGTTCATATATTATATTCGCCCGTCTTCATATGTGGGGTTTTAAGTACCACCTGTCTATGGTGTAGCCAAATAAATTCTTTTGATTCGATGACTCTGTACGGGAGCTGGAAATATTATACTACTAGCAGCTGATAGGTGCTGGTGCCATACTAGGACCTGCGAAATGCGCTGATGGAAACAGATTTTCCTAAATCAGACTTATGTGTTTAATTCGGATGCTATGAGAACGTAGACTCTTGTTACTTGCATGGTTTAATCCATAGATGGTTGATGAGATTCTTTATTGTTTTTGTGTAATCTCTATTCAATATTCATACTCAACGGATTTTTATTTTTAATTTTACATCTAGAATACCTGAATTATCTAGCTATAGCTGAAATGATATATATGCAACCATGCATGTGTATAATAGATGATTGTAGAATGTGTCCATTAAATGAACTAAATGTCTACCTTATTTTGACTTTAAATTAACGGCACTTGTGCAACAATGTATCTCACACTTTTATGTTTATCTACAATGCCTTAATGATGCGCAACATAAATAGAAGTAATCAAATTGACCAGACTTAAATGTAGTTTATGCATTGCAATTGGATGGAAAAAAAAATATCAATGATTTATGTTCAATGATAAAGACATTTTTTCCCTTTAAAAATTTATAGAATTATATTTTGCAACCAGCATTTTGATCATTGGCTCTAAACCAAGCTCTCAAATGCTCTTCATTATTTGAATGTGTTTTGATCAAAAGATATTTCATATGTGCGAGATGAGCAACAAATTGTCTACAATATTGAAAACTATATTCTGAATATTATTGTGGATGACTTGATGTTCAATCCAAAATAATGCCAACAATAATGCCAATAATTATATGGATGAGTAACATACATTCAATTGTGCAACTTAGCTTCAAGTTGTATCTCTTTGAGAACGTCAAACAACAACAACTACAAAAGAATAAGTATGATTGTTGTTTAAACATGTTGAATCAGAGCATGATGCTTCAATTGATTTTAATTCAGCTATGATTTTTAACACAAAAACCATTTTATTTTGCTTGACATTTAGATATGTGTTACTTGTCTTGTAAAATCTCATTTTGAATGACATTGGCTGCATTGATGTTAATGTGGACAATACTAAATTAAGTGTGTGTTATTTTATAAAATCAGCAATTTTGTTTTTATCTTTGCAAGCAATCTTCAACAAATTGTTAATCTTATGTTTAGTTCTTGATAGTTTTCATTATCATTCAAATCTATGTTTCATTTCATCAACTTTCTTTTACAATTCATCAAATCACCTCAAAACTCTATGTACTTTTTCAATTTTTTATTTTCAATTATTATTTTATAATTAATTTGCATGAATGCATATTTGAAAAATATGATCGTCAAAATAGTGATGTTATGTCCATAATGATAACAAACTTGTAATAGTGTTTAGTATCAATTAGATAATTTGTCTACTAGGTTTGAATTTAACATGTCTTTTAATGTGATTGAGAGATTTTTTGGTATTGTCATTCATTTCAATGGCACGATGAATATTGACTGTTTTTTAATGTGAATTTAGTGTGTAACATATAAACTAGATGTTATTATGAAGCAAAAAATGAACAATAACATATAAACATTTATATAGTATTCCTGATATAATGTATAATTCATTTAACATGTTAGTGAGATTTGGTTGTAGAAATGCAATCAAATTTCATGTAATTTGTCTGATTACAATTTCACTTTTGAAAGAAAATATGATGATTTGATTAAAAATTCATCAATCATGATTTTTTTCTTATATTGAGTTAAAGTAGCAAGCTTGTGCTCTAGCTTGACTTTGATATATGATATATACTTGTATATTTGTTCAATCCAGGGCTTAACTACACTTGTGCATCATAATGTTCAAAATAATGTCATTGTATATTTCATTTACAACATTTTAATATTATTGATCATTATTTGATGCTTTACATTTGAGTATTACAATTTTATTCTAATTGATAATTCTTTGATGCTTTACATTTGAGTATTACAATTTTATTCTAATTGATCATTCTTTGATGCTTTATATTTGAGTACTACTATTTTGGTATAATTAATTATTATTTACTGCTTGATTTCTAATCTTGATGTAATATTTTGATGTTATTGCAATGTCTTTTCTTTGTATTCAGTGCTATAATTTATTTCAACTTTTAAACTCTGTTGTGAAATAATGATTTATTATAAATTTTGTATCAAAATTATTCATGTACTTTACACATAAATTTTCCATAGAATATCTTTTGCATTAGGAATGTTAATCGATCATTTTTTGTTGAATAAAGATTTCATTTGAGACTCAAAAAACTCATTGTTGATGTGCATAAATGAAAAAATATATATAATTCAAGAATTTACTTATTTAAGTCATGTTTAATTTATCATTTTCAAATTCATTTTGTCCCTTATTTCATCGTATGATGTTATTTATGATGAAATGAAAACATGTTGGTTTGAAACATAAATTATAGAAT